ACACGTATTGACAGGGATGGGTGCGTCACAGGGCAATGTTCCTGGAACCGCGCCCTGATAATCGTTGGCCACTGGGTCTTGGCACGCATGCAAGGGAGGGCGCTTGGGTGTTTCATTGGGTCTACGGTGCAGTGTCTAATTGTCACCACCCACCAAACCACCCCAACCCAACCCGAAGGCCCAAATTTACCCTCGAATTCCAGTGGGGGGGGGTCGGGACACATCGAAAAAACACATGTGGAACCCTTACCCCCCCCAACCCGAAATTCGGGTCTTCGGGTTGGGTTGGGGTGGTCTGGTAGGTAGTCTAATTATTGGTAAGGTGCCGTCGTGTTGGGATGGGGCGACTCTGGCACCCTCGACGTGGCTTCTGTTCGCATGCTGAGCTTCGGCGCAGTAGGTGCGATCGCCGCTGTCTCTCTCTGCCGCCCGCTCCGCTCTGACCCCCGCGCCCTCTGCCGCGCGCCTACTCCATAGGGGGGCCTCGACCTTGTCTTTGGCGACGAGGGGCGGCTTGATCTTGAGGCAGGGCAATCATACAGAGGCGACTCGGCCGCCGCTCGCGAGTGGAATGCTGTCCCTGGGGTTCGGTTGGAACTCTAAGGTGGCCCCAGGGTGCTCGCCGAGCTTGTCAGGGCCCCAAGGTACTCTCGGTCGCCCGTCTGGACCGCGCGTGCGCGGACGTTCCCGCAGCGGCGCTGATGGGCCTCATGGCCATTGGAGCTGCCATCGGAATGCCCGCGCAGCGGCAGAACCCGCCCGACCATGTTCCTGCAATGGTCAGTATTGCCCCGAAGCCCCGTCTTTCGGACATACCCCCCCGATCCCTGGCTGGGCCACAAAGATTGGGTTTCGTGACATCCCGGCGGGCTGGATTGATTCGGTCGACGTGCCCCTACCTGTCCGCCTGCTTTCGGCGAGAGTTCAGGCGGCGATGCATGAGGCGCATGCTGAGCGTCGGAAGACCACGCGATGTCGAATGGCTATCTCCCCGCGCGAGTATCTGCATTGGTACGTCGCTGCTCTCCATTGTTTCCCTGCGACTGTCCTGTGTCCCGTTGTTCGAGCCGCGCGCGCACGCCCTGCGCTCTTTTCCATCTCCGATGCTGGCGCTGGTCGAAGAATCATCTTCTGGTCGATGAAGAAGAGGCTACCAGGCAGGCAAAGGACCTCGCGGTTTGCCCAGCGGCTGCTGGAAGCACCCCGTCGCCACGAGGGCCCCGTTCGATTGCGACCAACGCTGCGGCGCTCGCCCCGAATATTCCCGCCCCGAGGGCTTTCGCGAGATGCCCGTGGCGTCTCGACAGCTGCCCTTGCTCGGCGGCCCCCGTCGACTCGCCCGCTCTCGATGGGGTCCGCCGGTTGCAATGTCTGAGCGGCGGCTGTCGCTCATCCTCTTACCCAGGTCAGCACGCGTGCATTTCGCTGTTGTCAGTATGGTGGCGTCTCAGGTCGCTCAATGCGCGATGGCATCACGTCGCGCGAAGCCGATGGTCCGTCGGCGCACCTTGCTTGTCGGCAAGAGGCAGCCTGTTCACAGACTTCGTAGCCACATCCCCCAGCCGGTTCATTGAGTGGGCAGACTTGACTGTTTGTTTCTGCGGTAAACTGTGCCAGGGCAAAGTTGCTCGAGTTCTTCTGTGGTGTGGTTCCGTTGCAGTCGGCCGCGGGTCGGTCCGGGTTGCCCGGCGTCCATGTTCTTGCTTGCCTTGGCCTTGAACCTAGTGCGACGCTGGCCGATTACCGCATGTCCCGCCAGGTTCAGCTTCGCAGGTTGCGCCGACGAAGAACTTGTGCTCCTTCTGAACGAAAGGTTCACCGATTTGGGCCCGATCTTCGGTGAGCTGCGCTTGCTCGCTGATGCTAACGGGCTGGAGTTGCACATCGGGAAATGCGTCGTTGTTGTCTGCAGGCCAGTGGATATTAATAGTTTCGAATTGTTTCTTGGGGACCTGGGTGGTGGGTGACCGGTTCTCGGTCGCGATTCGGCGCTGGTTCTTGGGGGGCTTCTACGCGCGGGGCCCGATGCTCACCTCGATGGCTTCCCGACGCAGCGCGACACACACACACACACATTTCCGTCGGGCTTTTAAGATTCGCCTCGTGAGCGTCGGCCTTGCTGAGTCGACGGTGGCCGGCAATTTCCGGGCTGTCTCTGCGCCCGGCCACGTGCTCCCACTCCATCGCCCCACCCCGCCTCTGTTCCAACCTAAGGATGGCGCGTCGCAGATCGCCCACGCTGGCCCTCGGCGCAGGTTAAGCGGCGAGATGGCGCGCGGTCTGGGGGCGCAGGCTGCAACGCGCAGCGCGTCTCGATTCGTCGCGCGGCGCGCGCGTCAGCTTATGCCGCGGCTCAGGGGTCCACGGCCTGGTTTCGTCTCCAAACTGACCTGCAGCAGATTCTGGGCCACTCCCCGGAGCTGGCCCCTGACCGCGCATCCCGCGGATGGCTTGTGACGTCGTCTTTGTCCCACGTGGGCGCGGCGCTGCGGGGGGCGCCCCCTCTCGCCGCGCAGATCTGCCGCGGCGACCAAGCGTTCGCGACGCAAGCCCAAATCACTCGGGCACTGAGAGAACCAGGGCACCCTGGCGCGATGGCTGGAGAACCTTCCAGAGGAGTGCTGGATTGGCCCCCACTTCCCCTCCCTCCTGCAGCGTTTCATTTGTTTTCGCGCTCGGATGCGCCAACTTAGCAGAGCTGCGTCGACATTTTAATCGTCGCGGCCCTGGGGGCCCTGCGCCGCGGAGCCTAGACTTCGGCTCGACTCCATTCCCAGCCGAAGCGTGGTTTTTGTGGTTGTCGCCAGTGCCCCGGCGATCAGTGTCGCTGCCAGCGCTGCCCCTGCGCTGCTGGTCTCTTCTCGACTTGGGCCCGCCCTCTCCCCTCTGGGCCTCGCCCCCCTTTCCCCGCCCTCTGTTGCGACGACCGTCGGGCCCCCGACGCCATGCGCGACGTTGCCCCCTGCGCCGCGGCCCGGTCGAGTGCTTCGCCCACGCCCGCTTCCAGTTGCGGCTGCGGACCGGCAGGTTGAGACTGCCGATGTAGCGCCGTTCCCTGATTCGGGCTGCCGTTGAACATGACCGCAATCCGAGGCAATCCTGTAGATTAGTCGGCTCGTCTCCTTCCCCCTTGGTGTTTCGAGCATTATCTCGGCTGATGGGGGCCGTCCCAAACCTAGTCACAGCTGCACTTGCCGCGCTTGCCGTCGCGCGCGCGGGTGGCCCTGGCAAGTTCGAGCGTTCCGCGTTGTCTTTGTTGGGCACGCGTTTTTGTTCGCGCGTGCTCTTGCGCCCCCCCTTTGTGCGCCCCCTGCTGCTTGTGTTTTCGTCGCTGGTGCTGTTGCCGCGCGTCTCTCCTGCGTGTCTTTCCTGCTGCTGCTCCGCTGTGTGTCTGCTGTTGCTGCTGGTGGTGGTTAGATTGCCCTTCGCCTCGGCTTCCTGTTCATGGATCTCGACCTGCTCGGGGGCGCGTTGGCTCGCAATGGCTCAGATGCGTTGCTCTCCGCGCTGACAGCCCTGCCTCTCTTGTCTGCTCTTTGCTGCGAGAGAGCGCCTCTCTTTCCGCGTTCCGCCTTCCATGTCGGACAAATACATCGGCGAGATGCCGTTGCCGCCTGCATTTTCTTGGCGGTCGCCGCGTCTGCCTTGAGTGCCGCGGGCGGAGTTCCGACCCCGCGCTTTTGTGTGCTCACCTCTATGGTGCGCAATTGGTGCGACCTGGCTGTGGCTGCACGCATTGGCTCGTTCCTGTTTGTCTGCTGTCGCCCGTGCGTAGAGTCCTGACAAGTTCGAGCGCGCCTCCGCCCGCGCTTGCCGCTGCCGCCCTCTTGGTGGCTCCCCGACTTTGTCGGGTGGCGAGCTGCGTGCATAGCCCGATCGCGCCTGATCGTTGCCCCCCTTCTTCCTGCTCTGCGCTCTTTACCTGCTGTTCCCGCAAGCGCTCGTCCTCTGAGACGGTCGGGCACTGATTGCGCCCAGCGCCTGAACTGCTGATCCCAGCAATTGTGATTATTGTTGTTGTTTGTATGACTGCATCGATCGTCACCCCGTTCATCGCAATCAGTCCGCTGGGGGAAAACATGATTGCTCTCCCTTTCCTCGATCTTCCTCCTCCTCCTCTTCCTCATCCTTTTCCTCCTCCTCATCATCACCACCATCATCATCATCAGCATCATCATCATCATCATCATCATCATCATCATCATCATCATCATCATCATCATCATCATTACCCTTCCCCCCTTTTACGCGCATTTGTTTTTGAGGTTAAGTTCGGTGAGGTGCCTCATCGATTGCTGCTGCCTGCCTGGGTGCCCGGGTGCCTGGATGACTTATAGTCCTATAGCCTTGTAGCCCTATGGCCCTCTAGCCCCATAGCCCAATAACCCGATAGCACTATGGCCCTATAGCCTTATAGCCTTGTATACCTAAACAAAAACAGAAATAGCCCTGTATATCTATAGCCCTATAGCCTTGTAGCCCTACAGATCTATAGCCCTATAGTCCCCATAGCCCTATAGCCCTATAGCCCTACAACCCAATCGCCCTATGGCCGTATAGCCCTATAGTCTTATATCCTTGTACCCCTATAGCCCTGTAGCCCCATAGCCCCATAGGTCTATATGCCTATAGTCCTATAGCCCCGTAGCCCTATAGCCCTATAACCCTATAGTCCTATGGTCCTACAGCCCCATAGCCCTATGGCCCTTATGGCCCTATAGCCCCATAGCCCCATAGCCCCATGGCCCCAGAGCCCCGTAGCCCTATAGCCCTATAGCCCTACAGCCCTCTAGCCCTATGGCCCTATAGCCCGATAGCCCTATATACCTATAGTCCTATGGCCCTATAGCCCTGTATGCCCATAGCCCGATAGCCCTAAACAGATTATGATTGGGTGTTTTATCTGCTATCATCTTCCTTTTCCGCCCCCTCCCCCATCTCTCCTCCGACTCTTCCGTTTTTCATGCTACTCTTCCCTCCCCGTCCTCCCAGCGACGCAGGCGCCCGCTGCGCTGAGCGGCGCCGCGGCGCCCGCGGCGGCCGGGGGAGGCGGGTGCCTGATGCTGCTAGCCGGCGTGCTGGCGGCGGCCGCGTTCGGGGTCCGCGACGGCCTCACACAAGAGACGTGTGGATGACAGCTGCCGGGAAGCCGGACGCGCATGAGCGACGCGAAAAATTGAGGTCGTTTGCGCCGACATTGGCGCGTTAGCTGCCCGCGTAAGCTCGCTCGCAAGCGCCCTCGTTTCCGCTGGTTTGCCGCGTTGGTTGCCCGCGGAAGTCACCGCGTAAGGTCGCTATGCCATCTCGCTTAATATCCGTTTCCTTTCGTCGCTCACATGGTGCGTTCCAGGGACGGGCCTCGCTGTTCGGCGGAAGAAAAATGATGCCGAGACCGCTGCTCGTCCTGGAGAGCCCTCGTCGCCACGGCTGGACTCGCCTCGAGATCCTGGTCAGAACGCAGCGCGGGAGAGGTCCGGGGAGTAGCGGTAGCGGTGGAATTTTCCTTCCCAGCGTTCGGCGTGTCTTCGCTTTTTGCGGGAGCCGGCGGAAGGCGGGTGGCAGCCAGCGGCGGCGGCTCTGCCGGCGGAAGCCGGAACACGCCACATAGCGTGGCCATTTTGGTCGAGAGTTGGATGCACGTGTGGCCAGATGTCTTGCCGGTGCCTGGCCTGTCTGTGGCGGGGCACGCGAGACCTCCGCGTGTGCATCCAGCGCGTCGCCTCTGGGTGTTCCACGCGTGAGTCCAGCCACGTGTGGGTCCAGCTTCCCGGCAGACGCCGACAACGATGCCGCCCAGGATCGGCCTGGCCAGGCTCGGCGTCTGTGTCTGGTTGTCGTGCTCCTAGACATGCGGCTCGGGGTTGCTTCGGGTGTCTCCAGTCGGGCCCTAAGCCGTCTGAGTCGCACCCGCATCCTTACCGAGGGGGTCGACGGATGCCCGAAGCAGCACGAGCCGTGCATCTACTGGGCGTGACCGTCACAGGTGGCCGGACTGGCGGCGGACGGCATGCCATCGCCGCACACGGTGCGGATGGTGGTCGGTGGGGGCAGGCAGGCCATGCCAGCGTCCTTCAGGGCGTTCATGGTGCAGATACGCCCCGAGTTGTACGACAGCATCGCGGTGCTTTTCCTCTTCGCTGGCTGCGCACTCACCGTCAGCTTCTTCTGGTGCGAGCTGACCGCGAGCACGGATCGAAAGTGTTTTGCATTTATTTTCCAGATATTCCAGGCACTGCTTGCATCCATTTTCCTAGGGCAGGGTAGTGTTTTTTTGCTCACCTGGGCCGGCGCATACGTGTGAGTTGGCTCAGCAGACCCATTGGATCTATGCAGATGTAAATCACTTTATTCCTGATGCTATTGAACCTGTTGCTGCTGCTGCTGCTGCTGCTGCTGCTGGTGATTCTCCTT